CAGAGGGTGTGTGACACCATGGGGTGGCCAGGCCCTCCTGGGTGCCTTCTGGTGGGTTTGGTGGGAGCTGCTGCCACATGGACTTCTCCCTGGGTTGCCTCCCACAGATCTGGGCAGACCCTGGCAAGTACGCCCTCATGGGCGCTGCGGCCCAGCTCGGTGAGTCCTGGGTCCTGCCTGGTTGACGGGGTGGGCCCCATGAGGTCAGCAGGGCCCATTCTCAGTAACCCACCTGTGGTGAGCACAGCCAGAGCTGGCCTTGCACATCCAGTTGGCACTCGGTTTAAAAGAACAGCTTAGGCTGGGGCAGTGGCACAGGCCTGTAATCTCAGCAGCTTGGGAGGCTGAGGCAGAAGAATCACAAATTCAAGACCAGCCTCAGCAACTTAGCAGTCCCAAAATGAAAAATAATTAGGGCTGTGGCTCAGTGGTTAAGCGTCCCTGGATTCAATCCCCAGTACCAAAAACAGAACAAAAATCAGAAGCCTGGGAAATAGGCCTGAGGCAGAAGTTGGCACCACCCCCTGGGGCATGACCACACCAGCAGTCTCCTGGGAGCTGGACCCTGCTGAGCTGGGCCCTGCTGTCAGGAGGACAGGGCTCACATGCACTTCCTATAGGAGGGATTGTGAGGATGACCCTGAGCCTGACAGTCATCATGATGGAGGCCACCAGCAATGTGACCTACGGCTTCCCCATCATGCTGGTGTTGATGACTGCCAAGATCGTGGGTGATGTCTTCATCGAGGTGTGTGGGCCATATAACCAGATATAGAGGGAAGAGTCCCTGTGAAGCCAACTGTAGAGGCAGGCACAGTGTGTCTGGCACCCTGCCTCGGGGGCTAGCGTGGTGGGGGGTCCTTGGGGAAGCACTGTGTCATTAGGCCCCCATGCATTGTGATGCCTGTCCCCCAGGGCCTATATGACATGCACATCCAGCTGCAGAGTGTGCCCTTCCTGCATTGGGAAGCCCCAGTTACCTCACACTCACTCACCGCCAGGTATGGCCGGCCAAGCTGCCAGTCTCTCTCCCCCCTTCCCCCCTGCCCCCCCCCCCCGCCCCGCGGGCTGCAGGGCCACAGGTCAGGGAGTATGGTGCTTCATGCTGGACGCTCTGGGTGGCAGGTGGGCAGGGAGGAGGCTGCATTCCTGGGGGGGGGGAAGCTGCCCCAGCCCTGGGCTGGGCTCCCGATTCCAGCAGAGTCTTGGGGGCGGGTGGGAGGCCCCTGGGCTCCAGTTTCCTAGTGTGACAGCCTTGTGCCATTGAGCATCAGCGTGGTGCACCGATGGCTACTGAGGACACCTTGTGACAGGGGGGCTGAGTCCAGTCTGCTGGTGCCCCAGTGACAGGCGGCCTTGGGGGTGGCTTCCCTGGCAGGGAGGTGATGAGCACTCCCGTGACCTGCTTGAGGATGAGGGAGAAGGTCGGCACCATTGTGGACGTCCTCAGCGACTCTGCGTCCAACCACAACGGTTTCCCTGTGGTGGAGGGTGTGGACGGCACCCAGGTACTAGGCCTGCCCTGCACTGGGTGTGCAGCAGGACCTCGCTGCCCATAGAAGGAGATGACCATAGTCACCCAGTCTACAGGAGAACCATGCCCGAGTCTCATGGTCCTGACCCGGTGGGGTGGTCAGTGTGACAGTGGCTCTCACCTTGTCAGGAGGCAAAGGCTGGACATGAGCCGTTGCCATATCCCTTCTCCTGATGGGGTCATAAGACGTGGACTTTGGTGGAGGGGATTAGTTTGGGGCTGCATGTCCTCTCCAGCCAAAGCTGCCCTCTCTTGACACCTCACCCGCAAGCCCCGCATGGCTCAGGCCAGACTGCCCTGTCCCTGGTCTCGGGGCTCAAGGGCCCTGTGCAGTGAAGTGCCTGTGGCAAGGCCAGTGCTCGGAGGAGCTGTGATGGTGCTGCAGCCGGGCGGGCAGGGCTCTGGCGGGAGCAGGGGCCCCAGGGCTGCCTCTGAGCCCACGTTTTTTGCAGCCAGCCAGGCTCCAGGGCTTGATCCTGCGCTCCCAGCTCATCGTGCTCCTTAAGCACAAGGTGTGTCGGGCAGCCCAGTGGGGAGGGCCTGGGGTGCGGCCCCTATGTGAGTACCTGACTGGCCACTGTCCGCAGGTGTTTGTGGAGAGATCCAACATGGGCCTGGTACAGCGGCGGCTGAAGCTAAAGGACTTCCGTGACGCCTACCCACGCTTCCCCCCGATCCAGTCCATCCACGTGTCCCAGGACGAGCGGGAGTGCACCATGGACCTCTCAGAGTTCATGAACCCCTCGCCCTACACAGTGCCCCAGGTACCAGAGCTTAGGGCCTCCTAGGACATTGTGGAGTGGCCACCTCTGATGGACACAGAGGCAGGGAGAGTGGGGGCCCCTGTTGCTACTTAGGGAGGGTCTGTTGGGGGGAGTCCCCAAGGCAGCATACTGGGGGTCGGGCCCAGACAGACAAGAGTAGACTGGCAGACCTTCCTGGGTCAGGTTGCAATCCCGGCCAGGGTGGGCCCACTGAATGCTGTGCCTTTGCAGGATGCATCTCTCCCTCGGGTTTTCAAGCTGTTCCGGGCTCTTGGCCTGAGGCACTTGGTGGTCGTGGACAACCGCAATCAGGTGGGTCTGGTAGTCTGTGTCCTGATGGGCTGGCCAGGTCATGGGCACTTGCTCTTGCTCCCATGCAGGTACATGGGTGTGAGACCCAGCTTGGCCTGTTCCTGCATTAGTGCTGGCACAACAGCTGTACCCCTTACTCTGCCACGTGCCAGCCTCAGAGTCTGTCAAAGCTCTAAAGGCTCCCCTGGCACCAGCCATGTGTGGGACAGGTGGGGTGCTGGCCCATGGACTGTGTGACCTGGTGTTGCTTCTGCAGGTCGTTGGGCTGGTGACCAGGAAGGATCTGGCCAGGTACCGCCTGGGAAAGGGAGGCCTGGAGGAGCTCTCACTGGCCCAGACCTGAGGCCCGGCGCCCCGCCTTGGGCGGTGGCACTCCCAGCCCCTTGCACCTACTAGGGTCCCTGTCCTCTGGGGGTGTGGCACTGGGAGCAGGCTTCCCCAGACTGGGCCAGTCCCTTGCTGTGCAGGTCCATCTCCCACTTCCTGCCTCCAGGGGTCATGTGTGCAGCAGCACCTTCCCTGGGACCGAGGGGAGGGGCTGGCGTGCACATGAGGTGGATGTGCTGCATCCTGCCTATAGTGGCTTCTGTGGTTCCTGTGGGAGACCAGCTCCTGCTGACCACTCAGGAGCTGGTCTACCTCTCCCGGCCACAAGCTCAGTCTCATTTGCTGAGAGCCCACAGTATAGGGCTCCTGGGCCTGAGCAAGGCCCAGCCTGAGCCTCAGTGGCCAGGGCCTGGGAGCTGTGTGGCCCCAGGGCAGCTCCAACAGGGAGCCCCATGTGCACCCCTGGGTTTACACCCAACTTGGGCAACCCCAGGTCCAGAGGACGTGGCAGATGGGCTCTGTCCCAGGGTCTTGGGAGCTGAGGATCATCTTAGTGCCTGACTCCCAGGTCCTGCCTGTCACCCTAAGTACTCCAGAGCTGGGGTCACCCCACATGTGTACAGCAGCCAGAGGTCAGCCTTCCCATAGCACCCAGGGGCCTTGGTACCGGCTAATACATCTTTTCTGACAGCAGCAGGTGCCACTAGAGGTAACCTCCTGCTGGCCTCAGGACCCCCAGGCTGTCTTAGTGGCTTTGGGATAGACCATTGAGAATCAGCCAAGAAGCTCCCACCTTCCCACCCACCAGCTGGGCAGCCACCTTCAGACAGATGACTAGATGTGGTGTCCCTCTGGCTGCAGGGCCCCTCCTGTGGGACACGGAAGGGGATCTCTGTGTCCCTGGCATATGTCTTGAAGGCCACATGAGTCTTCCTGTGGAGGACTGGCACATGTGGCCCCGGGCTGTGCTTCCTCCTCTGCTCTCCATGGGTCCTGAGTGTGAGAAATAAAGGACCCCTGCCCAGACAGCCAGTGCCAGCCTCCCTGTTCAGCCCACTGGCACTTGCGGGGCCAGGGGTTGGGCACTGAGGTGGTGGTGACTGGTGTGTGGCACCAGGCCTTCCTGTGAGCATCATGGCCTCCCACCCTGCAACCTGGGGAGCTGCAGACAGGTCAGGTCTGGCAGATAGCCATCCGCCCTCACTGGGGCCCTGCCCTCCTCCAAGCAGCTCGGAGCCATTTCTACCACCCCTGCTCTCTAGGCCAGGAAGCCCCACTCCTGGGCGAGCCAGGATACTGGGGAGTCCCTCCCCCAGGACCCTTTACTCCACAGGAGGCCCTGGCAGGTGGGCCTGGGAAACAAGGCAAGAAGAGCTCTAGAGGGGCGTGAGAAACCGCCAGGCCCCAGAGACGTACCAAAAACGCACGTGCAATCTCTGTACACATTGTTTTGTGTTGGTCACATGTTGGAATGACATTTTGGAAATATTAGGTCAAATAAAACAAATTGTCATAACTCCTGTCGTCTTGGCCTCTTTCATGGCTGCTGGGAGAGCCGGAGGTGTCAGCAGCCCTAAGTGGTGGGCACCTCCTGCAGCTTGCCCCTGGGTCTCTGGCCTGGGCTGTGGTCAGGACTGGTTGGCTTGGTTTCCCTCCCTGCTGCCCCTGGAATAAGCCCCTTTGCAAGATGAAGCTGCCCAGTGCCCCTCAGAACCTTCCAGAAGCTGGCAGTTGGAGGCCATCAGGATGGGACAGGTGAGGGCTCAGGTCCGCTGGCAGTTGGTCCATGACCCACAGGGTTCTGATGAGGAAAGAAAAGTTCCAGAATAGCTCTGTTGCCCACCTGCTCCTGCCTCCTGTGGGACCCTCTGGGAAGAAGGCAGGATGTAAGGGTGGCTTTTCGAGTTGCAGCCCTCCCGCTTCCTGAGGCCTCCTAGCCTTCTAGCCCCACTTCCCTGCCGCACCCTAAGTCCCCATCAGCCCTGGCCTAGCATCCAGCTCTGGGCAGCCACGGGGACACTAGGCCCAGCGTCAAAGCTGCAGGGGGGACAGGTGGTGAAGCCATGTCAGGTGAGCCAGATGTGGGGTGTGCAGTCTGCAGTGGGAGGAGCAAGGTACCGGGGAGGACCACACAAGACAGCTCTGCTCTCCCCGTGGCTGCTGCCAGAGCTAGACAGGGTGGGTGCTGTCTTGTGTCTGCTACCCAGTACTATGTGTTCTCTGACAGGTTCCTGCAGCTCTCTGAGCCATGCCCCTACCTGGTTTGGGTGGTGCCTAGCAACAGTAGACAGGCTGAGCTCGGGTGGCTGGTGGGTATTGTCAGCAATGTTGGGGTGCCTGTGGGCTCCAGCAGGAGCTGGTGTCTGGGGGTGCACTCCCAAAGCACTTCCTTGCAGAGTTAGCTGACAGCTCCCTGTCAGGGGTTTCGCCCCACTCTCAGCGGAGCACCGTCTCGCTGGAGGACCTGGAGCTCCTCCTGGCCGAAGGCCTGACCAGCCCTGAGCCCTTGAGTCAGGAGAACTCAGAGTCCAGCCACCTGGCGTCCAATGCCTGTGTCCCCGAGCCAAGCACCTCCAAGCGCTGGGAGAAGCTGGAGCAGTGGTGAGCCCTGCGGCACAGGGCAAGAGGACCAGGGAGGACCACGAGGAGGCTGCCCTGGTGACCACCTTCTCCAACCCTGGCCAGGGTGGGTGACCTGCAGGCTGAGGTGGCATGCCTGCGTGGACATAAGGAGCGCTGTGAGCACGCCACCCTGAGCCTGCTGCGGGAGCTGCTGCAGATGCGGGCCCACGTGCAGCTGCAGGCCTCAGAGCTCCGGCAGCTGCGGCAGGAAATGCAGCAGGTGGCCCAGGCCCCCGAGAAGGAGGCATTGGAGGTGAGCTATGGCAGAGGTGTCAGTGCCCCACCCCAGTCAATCTCCCCCTTTCTCAGGGGTTAGTCCCGAGCCCAGTGCCACCCCCGTTGCTCATCCCTAAGCCATGGCTCCGGGCACGCCCACTGGGCCTGCGCTCCAGCCTGCCCAGCCCCACACCTTCCGCTTTGCAGTTCCCTGGACCCCAGAACCAGAATCAGATGCAGGCTCTGGACAAAAGGTACCCTACACTCCTGTGGGCATGGGCTTCAGCAGGTGGGAGAGGCTCAGGCAGTGGCTGGCACCAGGGCCCATGGGGATTCGCTCAGGATTCTGTTTCCCCAGTAAGCTGTCTTGTTAGGGTAAGCAGTACCGGTATGTGGTCCAACTCAGAAAGCTCGGGTCTCAATGCTCCTGGATAGCTTGAGATCCCGAGAAGGCAGGGGGGCTGATGATAGGGCCCCCATGGCCAAATCCCCAGTCCCAGAGGCTGCCCAGCTGCTCTGAGCCTGCAGAGGCGCTCCTTGTGTGCCAGGCTGGTGGAGGTCCGGGAAGCCTTGTCCCAGGTCAGGAGGAGGCAGGCCCTGCAGGACGTGCAGCGGAAGGGTGCCCAGCAAGAGGCCAACCTCAGGTGGGCGCCACCTCCCCAGGCTGGCTTGGACCCACCCTGTGCCCCCAGCACTACCAGCAGGGGATCCCCTGCCTCGGTGCTGAGCCACTGGATGCTGGGGACCACAGACCCACGGTGGACCTCGTAGGGGCTGGGGCCCTGCCCTCCCTCCCTGGATCCCTTGCTGGGACTCTGAGGTCTGTCTCCACTCCCATGTTGCCCTAGCTGAGAAAGACTGTCCCACGGTTCCACCAGCCTCTTTGGCTCCCCAGTCCAGTCCTCTAGCTAGCTCAGCTGGCGCCTGCACCCGCTGTCCCTAGGCTGACTAAGCTGACCGGCTTGCTGAGGCAGGAGGAGCAAGGCCGGGAGGCGGCCTGCAGTGCACTGCACAAGAGCCAAGAGGATGCCAGCCAGAGGGTGGACCACGAGGTGGCCAAGATGCAGGTACCACAGGGAGGCCAGGCCCGGCCCTGGCAGGGGCCCCTGGAGGGCCCCAGCATCCTCAGCCTGTGCCCTGGCCAGAGGTGGCTCTTCCCTCCCTGCTGATGGAACTTGGGGAGGACCTCTCATCCTGCACTGTCCCCCATGGTGACCTCTTACCCCAATGGCCCTGCCCATTGAGATCAGTTACAATGATAAAAACTCAACTCGGTTCCTAGGCCATGTGAGCCGCCTTTCAAATGCCAGCAGCCACAGGTGGCCAGTGGTGCAAGTCTGGGGTCCTCCTCACAAAAGCCCATTGGAGTGGACATCTCTGGCTGCCACAGCCTGGGTCAGGGAGGGGAGCAGTGGAGCCAGAGCCCCCTCCCAGCCGTTGGCAGCCTGAGCCTTCCTCTGTGAAGCAGGAGTCAGGAATTCCAGACCCCCATGCTGCCTCCCACTCAGGACCCCCAGGAGTGACCAGCTTCTTGGCTCTGCAGACAGATCCCTGGACTGCAGCCTGTGCCCCACACACCCAGGCTCCTCCAAGGCAGGGCTCATCCCACTGCTCCCATGTGGCCCCTTCCCACTGCCGCTGGGAAGCTGATATGCTGGTGCCAAGGTGAGGGCAGAGGGCTGAGGGCTCCTGACACTGGATGTAGGGGAGCTGCCCCTCCTGGGGCACCTGCCTTTTCCTCTGAGCCCCAGAGTGTCTGAGGACTTTAGGGCCAGGGTCAGCACACTGTGGCCCATGGTCTAATTTTATTTGTTTGTTCATTCATTTGTTTTTTGAATTGGCAATTCAACCCAGGTTCACTGAGCTATCTCCCTAGCCCTTTTTGCATTGAGACAGGGTCACTAAGTTGCTGAGAGTTTTGCTAAGTTGCTGAAGCTGGCCTCCAATTAGTGACCCTCTTGCCTCAGCCTCTTGATTTGCTGGGGTTTCAGGTGTACCCACTGTACCCACTGCCTAGTTTTTAAATAAAGTTTTATCAGCACAAAGCCAGTAAAGCACATTTAGTGCTGTCAATGGCTACTTTGAGGTCACAACCACAGTGTTGAAAGGTTTCAGCAAAAGTCCTGTGAGCCTGAAACATTTACTGTGGGGCTGTATGGGAAAGTCTGTGGACCTTGCTCTAGGGCACCCTCCTTGTGCCTCCCTCCCCTAGGGGCCTAGGCAGAGTGAGGGCTTCCCCGAGGCCCCCACCCAACCATGGGCAGGGCCTGAGTGCTGGGGCTACTGGTAGAAGAGCTTTGTGGCTGTGAAGAAGGTGCCTGGTGTCTGGACCCTGTGAGATGGAGGGGAGCACACTGGGCTGGGCTTCTCCCCCCTCCCGCCCCCGCTCTTTCACACCCTTGGTGTAGCAGGGGTGCTGTGGCCCTGCCTGCCCTCTGCAATGGGCTGTCCCCATGTGTGTGAGGAGTTGTCTCAAGTGCACCTACTGCCCTGCCCCAGCCCCAGCTCTGGCTAGTATATGGCCCTTCATCTTCCCTGAGCCTGGTCTCTTGGGGATAGTGGCCCCTGCCTGCCCTGCCTTTCATTCCGCTCAGGATACAGTAGATCCAGTTCTGCAAGTCCCAGGGACAGCAAGGGGGATGTGACCTGGGGCTGGGGGGGATGGGATGTCCAGCAGGGAGGCTGAGGGTGACACTGGGCCTCTCCCCAGGCCCAGGTAACCAAGTTAGGCGAGGAGGTGAGCCTCCGTTTCCTGAAGAGGGAGGCCAAGCTGTGCAGCTTCCTGCAGAAGAGCTTCCTGGCCCTGGAGCAGGTAGGATCCTGGGCCAGACCGGGCACCCTCGCCCATGTACCCAGGCCAGGCAGGGGCCTGGCAGACGGTGGTGTTCCTGCAGAGAATGAAGGCCTCTGAGAGCACACGGCTGCAGGCCGAGGGCAGCCTGCGGGAGGAGCTGGAGGGCCGCTGGCAGAGGCTGCAGGAGCTGACAGAGGAGCGTGTGCAGGCCCTGGGGGCTCAGCGCCAGGTGGGCCTGGTGGGTGGGCGTGGCCAGGGCAGTCTGGGAGAGCACCAGCTCAGGGCCACCTCCTCTGCGACAGGAGGAGGAGGGCCACCTGCTGGAGCAGTGTCGGGGCCTGGACGCGGCCGTGGTCCAGCTGACAAAGTTCGTGCGGCAGAACCAGGTGTCAGTGAACCGCATCCTGCTGGCTGAGCAGAAGGCCCGGTGGGTGTCCTCTGGCCACGGGGAGCTGCATGCCCAGGCAGGCCACCCAGAAGTCATCCACCTCCCCTGGAAGGCACTAGCAGAGCACTAGGACTTATCCACTGGGACAGAATAGTGACCCTCTAGCTGGGTCCTGTCCCTTCCCTAAACCTAACTCTCTAGGAGGCACCCATGAGAACATCCTGTCCTCTGATCCATGGGCTCTCCTGGGAGATTCCAGAGCGAGCTAGCAGCTGTGTCCTCTTCCCTGGCCTGATGCTGAGGGGCAGACCAGCCTCAGCTGAGAAACAGTGTCAGTGTTGTCAACCCACAGGAATACCAAGGTGTGCCTGGAGGAGAGCCAGGCTGGGGAACTGGCCTCCTTTGTGCAAGAGAACCTGGAGGCCGTTCAGCTGGCTGGCGAGCTGACCCGGCAGGAGATGCAGGGTGCTCTGGACCTGGTGAGGGGGTGCCCAGGGAGAGGGGCAGCACACACCCTACACATGACCATGGTCACTCAGCTGAGGCCTCCCTGACCTCCTCCTGTCCCCTGCAGCTCCGAGAGAAGAGTCAGGTCCTAGAGGGGTCAGTGGCCCAGCTGGCCAGGCAATTGAAGGACCTGAGTGACCACTGTCTGGCTGTGAGCTGGAGGCTGGACCTTCAGGAACAGACATTGGGCCTGAAACTATCTGAGGTAAGCACCAAGGGGCAGTAAGGCACATTCTGGAAGGCCTGGGCCCTGAGGGCAGAGGTCTGACCAGTCCAGCTCCACTGCTGAGACCTGAGGCTGTCCCTAGGGGTGGGATGAACAAAGGTGGTAGCCACCCATGGCCCTGGCGTTCATTTCCCTTCTTCTCCTGCATCATCGCTGAGCTATAACCTGTAGGCCGGGCCATCCCCTCAGGTGTGCGATTCAGTGGGTTCCAGTTCCTTCAGAGCTGGGAGCCCTGTTGATTCCAGAACTTTTCATCACCACAAATGGAAACCCCAGACCACCCATCAAGTCTCCCCAACACCCCAGCCCCTGGCCCCTCAGATCCATCTCTGTGCTTGTGGCCTTGCCCACAGGACCTTTGATGTCAGTGAAGTCACACACATGTGGCTGCTGTTTCTGGCTGCTCACTGGGCCAGGCCCTCACAGTGTATCCTCCTGGCAGGGTGACATCCCCTGGTGTGAGCAGGCCACCTTTTGTTTGCACACATGCCTGCTGAGGGACGTGTGGGCTGTTGTTATTTTTGGCTTTTGGGAATCATACTGCCATGACCATGAGGGTCCACCCTTTGATCTTGGGGCTGGAACCCCCAGGTCATCCCTGTAGCCCCTCTGGGCACACACTGGTCAGAACAGCTCATGACAGGCCCTCTCCTTCAGGTGACAGGCCTGCTCTTCGTCCCTGTCCCTGTCGGCTCTTGGTGGTAGAAGATCTGTGCCCTTCTTCTCGGTGCATCTGGGCTGAGCCTGGCAGCCCACTTGACTGGGCTCTGGGCATGGCTGTCCCCCTAGGTGGCTGCAGCAGGCCTGGGCACAGACTGCTCAGAGTCAGAGGTGGATGTGGGCATGTGGCCTTCAGGAGCTTCTCCCCAGCCTCCTGGGCCTCTCCATGTCCTGGCTCATAGCCCTGTCCTTCTGCCTGCCTGAACTCTTATCTGGGACCCAGCCTTCTCTGTGTCTGAATCTCAGGTGAAGACTGAGTGGGAGGGTGTGGAGAGGAAGTCCCTGGAAGACCTGGCCCGGTGGCAGAAGACAGTCTCAACTCACCTGCGGGAGGTGCAGGAGAAGGTGGACGGCCTCCCGCGGCAGGTGGGCCTAGCCTGTCCAGGCTCTGCCAGCCTGGGGAGCTGGAGGGCTTCTCCCACCCCTCCCCTCTCCTGCCTTCCTTGCTGGGCCTGGACGGCCCGGGGCTCCCCAAGCTGGCTGTGCTCGGGGTCACCCCCCAGGTTGTCCGCGGCCTCCATTTCAGATAGAAGGCGTCTCAGACAAGTGTATCTTCCACAAGAGCGACACAGACCTGAAGATCTCAGCCGAGGGCAGGGTCAGGTGAGGGTGCCCCTGAGAAATGGGCAGAAGCTCTGCCAGGTGCCCATGGCAGCCCTGTCCCCTCCCTGGCCTGGCCAGCCCTACTCTGGGATCACCTCTCCTCTGGTGCAGCTTCCCCCCTGCCACCCACTGAGAATCCCCACTTTCTGCACTAGAAGTGGGCAAGGCCAAGTCCTCTTGGGCTCCCTTTGACCTATGGCAGCTAGGGGAGGCACCTATCTGTCTCACCTGGACTCCATAGCTGCCCTCGGTGCCCACAGAGAGTTCGAAGTTGGTGCCATGAGGCAGGAGCTGGCCACCCTGTTGTCCTCTATGCAGCTGCTCAAGGAGGAGAGCCCCGGGAGGAAGATCGCTGAGATCCAGGGACAGCTGGCCACGGTACCTTGGGCCCAGGGAGTCCACCATGCCTAGACACTTGCCAGAGCTCCCAGTGCTCAGGGATTCCAGGTTGGGCCCTGGGGCTGGCTGGACACCAGAAGGCCACCTGTGTCTTGCCCGTGACAGGGGCTATGTTTAGTTTCAGAAGCAAATGATAAAACTGGAGAGCAGCATGCAGGCCCACAGGACCATCCAGAACCTTAAGTTCAACACAGAGACCAAGCTGGTGAGAGGGGCTGGGGGCTCCCAGGGCTGGGGCAAGCCTGGCCCTGCTCCCTCTAGCCTGCAGTCTGCCCAGCAGCCCAGCTGGCACCCAGCAGCCTTTTCCTGAAGATGAGGGCCTCTGGCCTGGGCTGCCCCCGTCCCTGTCGTCTACTCCCATGTTCTGTGATCCTCCGTTGTTCTGCTCCCCACCCCCACCCCGTGGCTCCTGGGTAACACCAGGGGCCCCTGTGTCCTGCAGCGCACAGAGGAGATTGCAACCCTGCGGGAGAGTGTGCTGCGCCTCTGGAGTGAGGAGGGCCCTTGGCCATTGACACTGGGCAGCAGGCGGGTTCTCATGTCCCTGGTGAGGCAGCGGTTCTTCATCAAGGATGTGGCTCCTGGAGAGCTGGTCTCCGTGAACTGCTGGGGCGTGTATCAGACTGTGAGGTGGGCAGCAGGGAGCTTGGCGGCAGCCCCTCAGGTTCCAGGTCTGGGGTAGGACAGGGAGGTCCCCACAGGGAGGGAAGGTGGTAAGAGGTGCAGGCCATGATCCGGGTCCCTGGGCAGGTGGCTGCAGTGGAAGACCGTCCTCATGAACCTGGTGGTCCGGCAGAGGCAAGGCGTAGTCTTGAAGACATTCCACCAGTAGCCTGCACCCCAGCGCACGTCCTTGTCCCTTTCCCAGAAATAAATGTGCTAGCTCTTGTACCACATGGGGCCATTACTCCCTGATACCTGCCAGTGAAATCCTCCCCAAGTGCCTGTGTGACTGACACACAGGTTGGGCAGTGGGAAGGACCAAGACCAGGAGACCAAATTCCCCAATCCCTAGGGTCCTTCCTGTCCTGCCCAATCTCTTTCCCCCGCAACCCAGGAGCCCCACATCCCCAGGAGAAAGGGTCTTGGCCTGTCCAGAGGCACCCAGACCTACTGCTGCCAGGACCTACGCGAACCCCCCAGCAGGAATGACGACACTGGGGTTGCAGGCTTGTGGCTGACCACCTCAGGCTGGGCCCAGCCCTGCAAGCTGACCTGTCATCCAGAGTGCTGCCCGAGGAAGCCACTTCTCAGCACTCATCCAGGGAGTAAACACCCATGTTTACTCAAGTCAGGCGCCTCTTTCTGCCTCTTAAGAAAACCCAGGCTCATCTGTGTCCCTGGCCCTGCTGCCTGCCTATGCTACACCAGGGACTGCACCAGGGACAATCAGCACTGGCCCTGTGGGGTGCAGGTGGGCTGGCTCTTGCCACTGACCTGAGTCACAGGGGATGGCCTGGCAGCGATGGGGCCTCCCCTAGAGGGGTACATGTGTAGGTAAACACCCCTAGCCCATGATCTCAGGGAGCCAAAGCTCCTGCCCAGGTTCTCCCTCCTGTAGGCAGAGCCCTGGGGGCCCCTGTACAGAGTGGGGTGCTTCTGGAGGCTGAGGCCAGGGGCTGGCTCAGCCTGGACACCCTCACTAGTCCTGCACCCTTGCCAGTCCTGGTGACCCCTGGCAGTAACAGCCATAGGCTGCAGGACAAGACCAGATCCTCCTTTGGGGCCTGGAAAGGCCTTGCCTGAGGTGGGCAGCCAGGTCACGGCTATCTGGAAGGAAGGAATTCAGGGAGCATGAGGGAGAGTCTGGGCACCCTGGGAAGGGTGGCCTTTGCTGCCTCCAGCACAGCCTTGACCTTGCCCAGTCTCTAGGCTTCGGTCAGTTGTGTCCCCTCCAATGCCTGAGCACCCCCACCCTGCAGCTCAGGGCTGGCCTCAGATGACCAGCTGGCCAGCAGGTCACTGAAGTCTGGTGTGCCAGGGTGGAGAAGGCCCAGGGGACTGGGCGCCGGCTCCTTCCAGAAGGATGGGGGCAGCTTCCTCTGGGTCATGGGGGTGATGTGGCTGTATTTCCGTTCCAGCCTCAGTCTGTGGCCAGCTGATGCCCTGGGCCCCAGAAACTGCCGCAGCCCATAGTCAAAGAGCTCAGCCAGGGGTCCCAGTGGCAGTGTCCCATCCTTGCTGAAGCCTGACCTGTGTGCCTGCCCCTCAGATCCCCTGGACAAGTGGACCTCAGGCTCAGTGGCCTCCTCGTCCTCTGGGGCCCCGCCCTGAGCCAGGCGCACCAGGTCAGCATAGTACAGCTCTCGGGCTGAGTGGCTGGCCAAGTGGCTATCCTCATAGACATCACAGGCATCTGGGTCCTGCCCCTTGTCCTTAGGACCAAAGTACCGCTGGATGTCACCACTGATGAGCTCTGAGAAGCGCAGCAGCCTCAGCGGAGTCTCTGGGCTGTTGGGACCTTGGGGAGCCACCCCTGAGTTCTGAGGGGACCCCTTGCCCTCTAGCTCCTCGCCCTCCCTGTCGTCATTGTCCTCATCCTCCTCTTCTTCCTCCTCCTCCTCTGAAGTTTCAAGGGGCTCTGGGTCTGAGCTCAGGAAGGGCTGGTGGGACTGCAGGGGCAGCTGGAAGCCACAGAGAGGCCGGATCACGCCAGCAGCCATGTCCTGAAGTCACTGGAACTCCTGGGGCCTCTGTGACTGCAGGCAGTGACTGGAGAGGGAGGTAGCGGGCAGGTGAGCAGTCAGAGCTCAGAGCCACATGTGCAACCCAGAGAGGGCTCCCCGGCTCTTCCCTCCCACAGCTCCCAGCTTCCCTGGCCCAGCTCAGCAGGGGTGAGGTTGGCAGAGACTGCAGAGGGTGGGCCCAGGAGTGCGGTGGGCCATTAGCAGGAGCAGTTAGATCCCATCTTATAGGTAGGGAAGTTTTGGGTGCAGGGAGGATGTGGGGGTGAGATTAAGCCACTACAATCACTAAAATCATGGCCACTCCTGGACCAGGGAAAGCAGAGGGAGAGAAGTCCCAGGGGGTCAGCCTTGCCCAGGGCTTCCAGAGTCCCTCCCTGGGTTGCTATGGCCTCTCAAACCCTTCCTAGGGTCCTTGCAGTTGCCATGGGGGGGTGGGGGTGGGCATGGGCATGAGGGTCCAGCCCAGCCCATTGCATCCAGTGGCAGCCTCAGACCCAGGTTCTGGTTGACTTCTGATGAGGTAAGGATACCTGGGTGGACCTGACCTAGGCACCTCCTGCTGGGAGGATGATGTGGAAGAATCTGGGAAAAGTGGGGTCCAGGAACCTTGTCTGCGTCTGCACAGGAAAGCCAAGTGGGTGCACCCCAGTGAGAGGGAGGAAGAAAGCAGAGCTGAAGGCCCGGAAGCCCAGGACCCAGCTCATCAGGAAACAACACCTGTCTCTGTGGGGGCCTGGGTGTGGGTAGCCAAGGCCCTTGGACATGCACTCCTCAGGGTCAGGATGACCTAGGCACTTGTCCCTCCCCTGGGGAAGCAGAGGTAGCTGTACACAGTCTCCTCCACCTGGAAGCCACTGTGTGACCTTACTTGCTCAAGGTGCAGGGCCCTCTGCTGTCAGGATGTCCAGGCCTCTGGGGATGACTGCTCACGGAGAGCAAGACAAGACACCTTCCCACAGGGACAGCAGTCCCACAGAGGACCTGGGAGGAAGCCCCACGGAGCCATGCCCCCCCCATGGCCCTCCCCACTCACCACCAGGCCCTGGGTCCTACCTGGCCTCTGCTGCACCTCTTGCTCGGCAGGCCCACCTCCACCTGGATGCAAGCATTTATAGCTGGGCTCTGCAGCCGCCTGAGGCTGGCAAATATTTGGCGACAGCATTGTCATCGCAGACTGGACAAATAGAGCCCGTTTGCTTTAGCGCCCGGCAACCAGGGCCCCGCGGGGGGAGCGTCCGAAGACGAGCCTCACCTGCACGCATCCTGCCAGGGGACCGTGGAGTGTTTGCTGCAAGCCCAGCTGGCCCACACCCTGGACCCGAGGACCCTTATCTCTGCTGCTCATTGGGCCTGGTCCAAGCCTTGTCAAATAGGCGGAAAATTAAATTTCATGCTATTTTGAGTTCTCGAGTAGGCCTCTCTAGAGGACATCCTGCCTCTGCGGTGTGCTGCACAGATAGTGCTTCACTGGCAGCAGGGCTCTGGGCCAGCAGGAGGCACAGAGACCACAAGGCCACTGGGATGGGCTAATGCAGGTGGCTCCTGGCCTAGCCCCCTCCAGCCATGCAGTGGGGGGAGGGGGTTCTGGGCAATTGTGCCCAGTCTCCACCAGCCCAGATGGGGCCATGATGAAGACCCTGCCCAGCAAGGCTGCCCCTCCCACCTGCACAGAGTTGCAATCACCCAGTGAACCTACTGCTGGCCTGGGCTTCCCCAGGGGCCAGGCTGAGATGGCTCCCCACCCCCCATTCCAGGCCTCCTCCTGGCTGAAGCCACCCCGAAGTGGAGTTGAGAGACCCTGACTCCAGCCAACTTGCCCGAATCCCACTACTGCTGATAGGGCTGGTCCTGCCCAGCTTGGCTTGGGCCATCAAAGGCCTTACAATGCTTGCTGTTCTTGTTTCCAGCTCCTGATCTCCAAGAGGCACATGGACACCACCTCCTCTTTCCCAGTTGCTCCCCCTCCAGGTGGGGGGGCAGCACCTCCCACCCTCTGCCATCTCAGCACAATGGACCTGGCCTTCCCTGCAGCTGGATCCCTGCTGGTTACTGAAGTCCTTTCCTCAGCTGGAGGGCAGAAAGCTTCAGGAGCCCTGCAACTACATGGGGCTTGGGAGCTGCTCACATCTCACAGTGAGGCTGTTTGTCTGAGCTGTAGTGGAATGGCAAGGGGCAGGTCACCTGCATGTCCAGAGAGAGACTTCAGGCTGTAGGAGGGTAATGGCATCATCACAGCAACCAGCCACCATTTATCACTACCTCGTCCCTGGAAGGAAACCCAGGGGGTGACCCAGGTGAGACCATGTCCAGGTAATGCCAATGTCCTGGGATGAGGGGCATCTGACCAGGTTCAGTCCTGAGCATCCAGACTGCTTGGGGATCTCTGTCCCCATAGACTGACCTCAGGAGGTTTTTCTTTTTTGTACATGAGATTGAACTTAGGGTACTTATCCACTGAGCCACATCCCAAGCCCTTTTTGAGACAGGGTCTCACTAAGATTTTTAGGGCCTCACTTAGTTGCTGAGGTTGGCCTCAAACTCATGATCCTTCTGCCTCAGCCTCCCAACTTGCTGGGATTACTGGCATGTGCCACCACACCCAGCCTGACCTCAGTTTTGACCAAGTTTGAGACTTCAGGATCCAAAGACACTGGCCCCATCCTGGCTGTGGGGTGGTCCTGCCTCAGCAGGCTCCTCTCTGACCCAGTGCAACTCAGCTGTCAGACCAATTCATCAGAAGGCCCAGGGTCCGAGTTACAGGCTGCTGGGGCACATAGGTCCTGCTTTGTGACCATATTCGGCCCCTTGCCCTCTTGATGGCTCAGGGGGCTCCTGCTCTGATCTTCCCAGAACCCCAGAGCTGGACCAGGGCAGAGAATGGGGCACATCTGCTTCTGCTCAGAACCATAGCGCCCCCTGCTGCTTGCTCTTGGAAGGATGGGCCCAGGGAAGGGGCTGGGAATAGGCTGAAGTCTATGTGCTGCCCACTTCCACCTTGGGGGTAAGCAGCAAAGCAGGCAGTCAAGGGACCTTGGGAACCTGCCAGAGGACCCAGGAGGCATGTGGCTGTGGGCTCTGTGTTCCCCCAGACCGACTGGGAGATGGTAGAGGCTGTGCAGGTGCTGTGAGCACAGGCAGTCACCAGTTCCCTCAGAGCAGCCCTGGCCTGTGTGGCCCCAGGGCGGAGCACTGCTGTGAGGGAAGACACTCCACCCTGCCCTTGAAAATGTCCCACCTGTGTGTCCAGAGGAGGGGCTTTGGGGGTAAGCTGCAGGAAGGCAGAGTATTCCAACTGAGGACAGAGCCTGAGCAGACCCAGGTGCTGCTGCAGAGCTGGGAATCTCGGGGGTTCATTGGGTCCTTGTGAAGTGGAGGCAGCAGGTCCAAGGCAGACAGAATGGACAATGCTGTGCTAATGGCTTTGAAGATGGCGAGGGTGACAAGGCAAGGGGTGCAGGGGCCTAAGAAGCTGGAAAATGCAAGAAAGCAGGTCCCCGCAGGCTGCAGAGTGTGACCTGCTGACTGGATTCCAGGCCAGTGAGGCCCACTTGGAGCTCCATGTGTGTGTGTGTGTGTGTGTGTGTGTGTGTTTAAACCTCGCAGCTGTTGCTGGTTCCAGCATAGGCAGCCTCAACTGGAAGCGGGCAGCGCGTGTGCAGGGCCTCATGGCAGCTGTGGAGCTCAGATCCCCCCAGCCACAGGGAGAGCCCAGCCTAGGTGAACTCAAGTCCCAGGTGAGGCCATGAACACTGGACCTCAGCTCATCCCTCTACAATGGAAGAGAAGATCTGTGTGAAGTGATCTGTCCAGCTGCTGTAGGAGGAACGCATGAGGGGTCCTGACACCCAGGGCCTGGCTTTTACCCCCACACACCTGCTTCTTTCCCATCCTTTGATTGAGGCATCTGGACAGCAGGGCTGGGGCTGCGACAGGGGTTTGGATCCTACAACGAGCAAATGCAGAGATGCCCATCATGTTGCTGAGAGAGGGCTGTCCACTAACATTCAGACCTTTGTCCTGGCCTAGAATGATCCTGATGTTTTTCTCTGCCTGAAAAGAAATCAAGGAGGAAACCCAAGCCTGGGATGCAAACTTCTAGAGTAGAGAAGATGCTGGAGCAGCTAGGGTAGGAGTTTGGGAACAGGAGCTTGGCAAGGCCTTGGGGAAAACACTTGAGACTAGAGAGGGAGGTACCAGGGTCCCACAGTGTGGGCTGAGGCATGATGATGGAGGGGACAGGCAACTTAAGGAGCAGGTCTGCAATCCAGCGGGAGTTCAACAAGTCATCCCCTTCCTCACCCCACCTGAGCTTTAGGCCAAGTTCAAGATAGACCAGGTGTCTCTGGCTTTTGTTTCTGGTAAAGCTAGGTTAGTGAGTGACAGCCTAACAGGGAATCTTGGGTTAGTAGAGAGACTCACTTGCCAGGAGTCATTGCCTGTACATGTCTAGCTGGTGTTGGGTGGGTAGCCAGGCCCAGACCGAGCAGCTTTGTGTCCCCCAGCCCCCTGCCACCCATCTGGGCCCCTAGAGGAAGCTGGTGCCTCAACATATGTCCCAGCATCTGCCTGGCTCTCACTGTGGGCAGTGCTGGCCCTGCACAGCTCTCAGCCCAATGCCTTCACCAGCCCCCACCCCCACCTGTTGTCAGGTCTCAGGCCCTGGAAGAACAACTCTGCCCCACCAGAGGCAAGCTCTGCCTATCCCCAGGCACCCCATATTGATCTTCCCAGGAAAATCAATAGCTCCAATATGTCAACTCTCAAGTGGCGCTACAATAAATTACCCCGCCATTAAGCACACAAGGGCCGTAGCCTCCGCCCTCCCCCCATTAGTGGGACATTAGGCCTCCCTTGAAATTTCTCTGTGTGCTTTGAGATAATGCAGGCTGAGGTGTTGGTTTATATCCCCAGGGAGGGGAGGGTGACTTGGAGCTGTGGCCTTTTCCTCTCGGGGGTTCCCAGCCAGGCCACTGGGAACCAGCATGCTTGGGAGGTGAGGCACCTCAGCAACAGGATGCGAGGAAGGACTGCAGGGCTCAGTGAGGCAAGCAACTGCCGGAGGGTCCTGGGAAGCAGGGCTTTGCCCTGGGTTGGATGCTGGGTTGATGCTATGGTGGGGCCACTGTAAGTAA